TTTTATTGTGATTCTCTATATTTGATGTCTGTCTTAAAGGCCAATGCCAAGAGTCAGGTGGACTTCATGAGACTCTATTTAATTTAAAAACAAAAACAAAAAAACCTCAACCCTTTAGTGCCCATAGTTGCAGAGACAAAGATTGAACATGTGAATTCTAAAATGTCAAAAACCAGAAGGCAAATAAAGCATCAAGATCTTATTTGTTTGGCTTAAAAATCATGATTTTTAAAAAATCTCATGTTATGATTTTTGAGAGCCTGGCTGATTTTTGAAAACTTGGGGGTGGCAAGAGTGGAACCTAGATAGGCTGATCAGAGAAGGGGGGTCACTGATAGGAAACTGGGTGGCAGCCAAGACCACAGTCCTTACATCAACAAAATAAGTGTAGTAGGTCCAGCTTCTCGGCTTACCAGCCGCTGTCTCATCCACTTGTTTAACATGACATCATGTCAGCCAGTGACAGACAGTTGATAAATGCTGTGCTGTTGCCTATTGATTAGCTACAAACCTTTTGGCTCATTTCTTAGTCAGCCAGATTGTTAATCCAAAACTGTAGAGTGTATGTGTTTGGTTAAAACGATATATTCCTTTGTGATGAAGGCAGTTCTTCCATTAACAAGCAATCTTTCTCTTCTGTCAAAAATAAAATTGCTTGCCTAAGTGAGTGGTCAGTAGAATTTTTGCATGGGATAAGTAGGTAATAATTAGGGCTTCTAATTTTCAGTTTTAGCTGATAACACCCCCAGTACAAAAAAAATGAAATTGGTGTTTATTCAATAAACACTGGAAAAATGCCAGAAGTGGTTACTTGTACTTAAGGGCTTGTCTACATGGAATACTAAGGCAGACAAGGGTGTGATGTCTAAAATTCACTAACATGTTGCACATTAATTGGCCTGTATCGAGGTGGTAGTGTGCACTAAAGGTTCCCTAGTGCATTTTAGTGTTGTGCTGTTTGAAACAATGCGAAGTTAAAGTGCACTAGGTAACATTACCAAGAGATTACTCCTTACAGTAGGATACATTGTAACAAGTAATGTAATTAGTAATGTATATTGTATACAAAGAGCCCCCAAACCCACCCAATTTTTGGACATCTACATAAAAATTAAAAATTACTAAAAACAAACCCTGCAAAATGAAATTAATTAAACCCCAGCGTCCTCGTAATATATGTTAACATGTTCTTTCCTGAGAAGGTTCAGCTTTGTTTGTTTCCATTATAACAGATAACCTGCCCCGATGCGGTGCGTTTGAGAGCTTGGTAAATGAAATGTCAGATGAAACCTGGAATGAGCGTGCAGTAAACAGAATCAGTTCAATCCGCTTTTTAGAAGATGAAAAAGATGAAGAGGATAACGAAATGGTACGTTTCTCAAACATACGCTATTACACATGTAGTAACTAAAATGCAAAAGAGTAAAAAGTGTTTGAACTGTCTACATCTTACCTTAAACATTCCAAGTTTTAAACAGTAGTAGCGGATTTTCTGTGTTTATAGCAGAGCTGTTAAATATTGGTTTTATAGTGGTTTAAAAAGGCTTTTTAAATTTGGTATTGTTTATCTGCTTAAATCAAATACAACTTTCAGTTCTGCTAAAACAAGACTCTCTTACTGTGAAAATTTTAGTCTGTTTTTTCTTTATTTCTTTAGGATGGTTCCTTCCAGTTTTCCAAAAGCAGGATAGGAGTAGGGTCTTCTTCTGCTCTGTGGAAGGTGTAAGCCTTGGACCCTATGTCCTTTAGGCAGTAACTTTAAGTTATTACACTCTGACATGGGTCCACATTGAGTTTTCTACCCCCCCCCCCCATCATGTTTGTCTTTCCCCCACTTTCATTACCCCTCCTTCATCTCATGACCATATGTATTGATACCAACATAGTGTCCATAATCAGATGGCATGTGGCACATTGGTGCATGCTGTTTCCCACCCAAATGAAGAAGGGCTTTTGGGAGCATCTGTCACTGTACTTATGAGACCTCCATTAAATGGTCATTTCATACTCCCTGGAAATCAAAAATTTGAGGTGGTCTTTGAAATAAAGCCTTCTTCTGTAATGGCTTTGCTTCACTAACAGCAGCTACATGTAAATATTGAGACTTTTAGAGCCAAATTTTCCGCAGACCTCTCAATGTCCCCCAAAACTTGCTGATTGTACCAATTTTGCATGCAGATTTTCAGAGGCATGCTGAAGTCTTAGCCTTCAGCTTAAGTTGAAGTGAGCCTCGAAACACAAATCTAAAAAAAATCTCCAAACATGGGGATTTTCAGATCTGTACTCTAACTCAAGAACATCTTAGATATAACACTCCAGATGTGCTAGTACTATGGCTTTATTCTGAAGAGTGACTTTGAAACAGACAGTATTTTTTGCATATCCGATATGCTCATTTTACAAGTATACAGATGTGTTTTTCCTTACTACCAGCCCTGTACACTGAACGAGGGATCTGACAAGCTAGGGTCCATCCTTCTCAGAACCTGGAGTAAAGGGTTTAGCAGATCAGATTAGTCCTTCTGACATCTGTGCCAACTGTGATTGCCTCCTATTGGTTTCCACAGGTGTAGCTGATGGAAATTTAGTAAGCAACTTTTGGGAATGCACAAGGGGGAATATAATCTAGTTTACCTTCCTTCAGTTGTGTCATTTGTACAGGGCTAACTGGAGTAAAAAGTAGTAAAACTAAATTTGGTCATTGAAGGCAGCATGTGACTGGGGCAGCACACAGCAGAACTGCATTTTGAATAAGGTGTCACTTTTCATAATTGAACCACATAAAGTTGTGAAATAAGAATCTTTAAACTCTTAAAACTTCCACCTCTTATTATTGATCCACTTGTAATGAACTGGGAATAGCAGGTACTTTGAAACAATATTAAAAATTCAAGTGCAGGACATTACTTGGGGATTTAGAGACTGCCCTGAAGCAGTCCACTTTTGATATTGGGGGGGAAAAAATCATTTTGTGATCTAGTCAAGTGTTTTATTCAGCTAGTCATTAATTTCCAATGTATGCCCCTTATAGTTCACTAGTGCTACTGTAATAATGTAAATAGTACACAAAACACTTCCTTTAAAAATTACATACATATGCACCTGCACACACATTCATGCTGTTATATTTAGTGCGGTATAGATTTTTTAAAAAGAAAATTAAAAGCTAATTCACTGGTTATCCAAATTATGGAAGTAAGTTATCTTTCTATTTAGCTTTTGTCAACTTTCCTTGCACATATGCCAACATAAGGCATATCCTTCTCTAGCAGATAGTACAGAATTACCGAAAATAAACTATTGGAATGTTCCCTCTCTTTCCCTCCAAGTTCCTAGTGTCTATTTGGCAAAACATAATCTAATCCATGTCTTGGTGATGGAAGGAGAGTAGAACATCACACAAACATTTACTTGGCAATATAGAGAGACACCACAGAGAGGTGCTGTGGGATTTTTCAAAAGCATCTGTTTGGTTTGGTTAATGGAATTAATTCCTAAATCACGTAGGCAGTTTTGAAAATCCCATATAGTTCTTTCATGGACACTCTTCCCCCCCTCCCCCCCCCACACACAAATTGGGAACTGTTTTTCAACTTCTGTTGATGTAGATTTTCAAATTAACAGGTCATGTTAGGGAAATTCTGTGCCCAGAGTCTGTTTTCCCCCCACCCTCAAAAGAAGACCTCTTTCACTGACTACATCAACAAGCAGCTATGAAATTAACATTATGATTTTTTAAAATCATGTTATAGCTAATATTTGGTATTAAATGCTAAAACCTTGAAAGTGTGTGTGTTTCAAAAAGACAAAAGCAAAACCGTTTACTCCACTGTTTGTTTTTAGAGAACACTTCTAAGGCGAGCCACTCCACATCCTGGAGAGTTAAAGAACATGAAAAAGACAGTGGAGAATTTACGGAATGATATGAATGCTGCTAAAGGACTGGATTCAAACAAAAACGAGGTCAATAATGCCATTGACAGAGTGACCACTTCTGTGTAGAGTTTCATCTCCAGGTTTTACCTCCTGTGTCTTCCCCTGCTGTTGAAATGTTCCTGTCGTCTTCTGGGATGTCATTCAGCCCCCTTTGTTTTTAACCAGAACCTGATTCATCATCTCCTTGTATGTGGAAGGTGCTGATCACTGGAAGAAAGTGCCTTATCTCAGCCAGGCATTGAACCAATACTCTCCAAATCAATATTGTACTTTTAATAGTTTAGTTTGTTTTTAATAAATAGAGTACACTACTGTATAGGTAGTGCCATATTTTTGTCTTACATGTGGGGAAATATGATTTTTCCTAAGTGCTGGGGTATCTTCTTCCCAGTTGCTAGATATGCTGGTGAGAAATATAGTTTTATGTGGAAAATGGATACATTTTTACTCTTTGGCAGCTCAGATGGTGTAAATTTTAAAATTTTGTATAGGAGTTTCATAACAAAATGGTGTATTTCATTTTTAAAAAGAAATTTATCTTAATCGGTACATATTTTAGTATTTGTGGAAGAGAACGTGAGTTTCATGGACAGTTGTATTCATTTGTTGTTTGTACTGCCCACTTGTGCCTTAATGTGTGTTATATGTCAGACTAGTCTTAAAAGAAAACAGAATCCTTGGGCAGAGCAAGATTAAAACAATGGTGCCTGTTCGGAAGTGTTCATTTCAAGCAGTAATTAACTTTTGGGGTATTTTACGAAAAAGGAAAACTGATGTTTATATCACAGGATTCAAATTTGTGAAGCACAACTGTTTATTTTATTGTATGCTGAGTTGAGATTAATGACCAGACTGCTACTGTTTATTACACAATGCACTCACACTTTAACTTAATCATAAGGAAACCTCTTGTTTTGGATGCAATGATGGATTGCAGTCAATAGAAACTCATGCTCCCACTTTTAAAGTTGAATGTGCCATTTGTAAAATAAACAGAACAAAATGCACACTAGACTTTCAGAAGCACAGTATGGAACTAGTTTTATGTATGACACAAGAAGAGTGATATTCTTTTAAAGTGCTTTGCAGGTTTTATATCTATATATAAAACCCCAATAAAATAAAAATATGAAAGCTTCAGTAGCTTTTTATTGTATCATTAAAATTGCTATGATAAATATTAGAATTGACTTTATCTGTACATTTTATTTGTGCTACATCTTAAATTAGTGAACACTGGCTTTATTAAGTTAAGTAAACTCTGTTAAACTGAATGTAATACTGTGGAAAGTACCAGTTTTAACATACTTTGGAGAAAGTAGTCTCTCAAATGCAGTGCAAGTACAACACGAACAGGTGCATTGTAAGGTTTCTCACATTGTCACTGTGACTGTGGCATACAGATGAGACCAATTGTCTCCATATATATTAAATTCTTGGAATCTCTGCTGAGACTTGAAACAATGTTGTCAGTTTTGATTGTATCTATATTGTGTGTCTGTGTCCACTAGGAACTGGGCCAAGACTGCTAACTTATTCCATGTAGACAACTGAATAGCCTTTAGGTTCAGAACAAAGGTTTAATATACCTAATGGGTTCAGGTGCAAGTCGATAACTGAAATGAACAGACTCAAATTGGATCAAAATAAATGTGTTACTTCAAGTAAGTCCCTCAGCACATAATCATTTGGAACTAAATCTTCTTGTAAACATTTGAATGTTTGAAAGGAAGACTTGAGAAACTTACAGCAAGGAAATTTTGTCCAGTTTATATTGTTAGGAAGAATATTTTGAAGGCCAAAGAAACTGGCAATTTTCTTCTAGCAGGCACAGAAAGGGGAGCGGGGGTGGCAGGCAGAAACAATAATAGATTTCTTCAAGTAGATGCAGCTGTATATTCTACTTAGGTGTGTGCACATCCATTGGACTGGCGCCAGAGAACTTTGCCCAGCAGTACCTGTAGGGGAGGTGCTCACAGCCCTATTCCTTCCCCTAGCCATACAAGGGCAGTACTGCCCTGACCCCCTCAGTCCCTGCTTTCAGTGGCTACAGTCGGAACTCTGTGTAGTGTTTTTCACCTTGTACTTTTGGTCTGTTTCTGATAATTTTTTTTCCTTGTATATAGTAGTTAGTAGTACATTAGGTTAAGTTTAGTATGGTATTAGAGTAGTTGGCTGTCCTGTGTGATGCCCTCAACAGGGTTCCAGCATTGTCCATTGTGTCTGGGGGGGACCATCCCCAACAGTGATTCTCACACAAGGTGCTTGTGTCTCGGTGAAAGACGTTCGCAGATGGAGCACAACTCTTTAGTCATTCAGAGAGGACTTAGGTGGTAAGACACTTGCAGCTGAAGCAACACCTGCTGCAGCAGGCCATGAGGATGAGGGCCCTCGTGTGATTGGCAGTCGCCTTCAAGTGATGTCACTCGGCACTTTGGCTTGGCCATTTCCCCAAAGAGGAAGGGGTCGTATTCCCTCTTTTGGTACAACGAGGAAGAGGTGACATAAAACAAATAAGGACCACTCAGGCAGACTCCACCTCATTTTCTAAGAGGAGTGCTGACTGGCACCATACTCTGTCAGGCACATGGGATGGAGCAGTCCATCCAACTGCTCCCCGATACCACTCCAAGATAGGGCAAGAGCCTGTACCATCAACTCTGGTTCTGGCCATGAGGTGTCTGAGACATTGTCACCAGCGCTGACTGTCTCCACTCTGATGACATACCAGGCAGCATCAGACCTGTTTTGCCTCTCAGTCCTGGACACACCACTGGTTCAGGAGTTCTCTGGTGCTCTGGCTTATACCGTCTCATCCTGTGTTGTGCCATTGTCACCTTCTGGTTGCATCACAGAGCTGCTGGCTTCGTCAGCACCACAGCTCGCACCGCCCAGGCCTCGTACAGGAGAGTAGAGGGTGATGCAGGGCCCGGCACTGAAGGGCCTATTGATGCTGGTGCATCCTTTGGCACCATTGTTGTGTTGGCAGCAGATCCTTTTGAGTTCAGTACTGCCCTTAGCCTTGGTACTGGCGCCTTTCCCAGAATCAGATGGGAACGTGTTTCATTTGGTACCACTGGTGCCAATCTCCCCATTCCTCTTCAGCACCGATGCTGCCCCATATTGGGCATCAGAGTCTGACCATTGTTTGCTCCATTGGGGTGGGCTCCCTCATTGTCCCCAAGTATCTCCAAGACTTCTCCGGATCAACAGATAGGCACCAGAGATAAGCTTTGGCTCACCATTGGTACCGAGACTTGGCATCTGTCCCACAGTCAGGGCATGGGCTTTTGGCCTGGTGTCTATTGGCCATCAATGGCTTATCTGTATGCCCAGTGGCCTTCTTGGAGTCTTTGGGACGCTGCTTGGTCTATGAGGTCCTACTCCTTGACTTGCTCCAGAATGAGATCACTGATGGTTGCTCCTGCTCCCAAACCATGTCAGCTGCAAGCGACAGCTGAGCCCTTTCACCCTGGACTTCTGGGGCTCTTCCCACTGGATCCTGTGGTGCAAGAATAGGATCCATCGTTTGTGCACCAAACCACCTCCTCATCCTACCTGGACAACTCTACTGTGCCAGAATTTTCCTCTTCCTTTGTGCCATAGGACTTTAAGCCATATTGGGACCTCCAGAGGTGTATGGCTAATACCTTGGGTATCCAGGTGGATTCCTGCAGGAGAAAAAAGAACAGGAGTACTTGTGGCACCTTAGAGACTAACAAATTTATTAGAGCATAAGCTTTCGTGGACTACAGCCCACTTCTTCGGATCCGAAGTAGTCCACGAAAGCTTATGCTCTAATAAATTTGTTAGTCTCTAAGGTGCCACAAGTACTCCTGTTCTTTTTGCGGATACAGACTAACACGGCTGCTACTCTGAAACCTGCAGGAGAATTACTCATAAGCTGCTGAATATTCTCCAATCATCAGCTCCAGGGAGAGTAAACCTGGAGTCTGCAAAGGCCTTTGGAATTATCCAGCTTCATTGCCTCCTATACTGAAGCATTTGGAGACGCGGTACTTTTTTCCCATGAAGGGTTTTGAGGGTTTCTACTCCCACCTGGCCCCTCACTCTCTGGTGGTAACTGCAGCAAATGGCAGGGCACAACAGGGAAGGTATAAGTCCATGCCTAAGGATGAAGAAACCAAAAGTATGGACTTGATGGAGAGGAAGATTTATCCCTCCTGTTCCCTTCAAATGCACATCAGACTAGCAGCCATTGCGCTCTAAATATGATTTTGTCAATTGGGCGGCCATGTCTAAGATCATGGGCAAGTTGCCAGAACCTTCCACAGAAGAGTTTAATGTCTTAGCCAGAATTATGGCATTGGCTGTGACCATGAGGAGGACCTCATGGCTGCAGAATTTGGTCATTGCACCCGGTGTTCAGCAGACAGTTGGGGGGTTTACTATTTGATGCCTGGGTTTTGTTTTTAGAGAAAACTGACAAAATCTTGCACTCTTGAAAAGACTCCCAAGCTACTTTGTTCTTTAGGAGCGTATACTCCAGCCATGGAGAGATGCCACTATTGGAGTCAGCAACAGCAGCAATACCACCTGCAGATTTATTTATTTATTTATTTAGTTACAGTTCTACCTTCCTGTAAGGCAGCAGGACTATTCCTGGAAGGGCCACAGATCCCCAGAAGAGAAGAAGGTCTTCTGGTTCTGGGCTAACCAGCCAGCTCTCCCTGATCCTCCATCCCCTGGCATCCAGCAAGTGCCCATTTTGACTTCAGTGTCCAGAACTGAGCCATTGGACTGAGCCATTCTTCTCCATCCCCTCTGTTCAGGGACATGTTGCCTTGTTTTCATGGTGTTTGGGACTTGATTACCATCGACAACTGGCTCGTAAGCACTGTCATGTCAGGTTGTGCCAGATAGTTCCTCTCCATCCCTCCTCCCCACCCCATCCATCTTCAGGGATCTGTCTCACACGAAACTGCTCCTTTAGCAGGTTCAGTCTCTACTGGCTCTGAGGTCTGTCAAGGAGGTTCCCCTGCAGAACTGAGGCCAGGTTCTAAGCATTGGTATTTCCTGGTCCGCAAGACCAACGAAGGGATGAGACCTGTCCTGGACCTCCACAATTTCAATATGTATGACTAACTTAACAACTATCCTCCCTAGCTTAAATCACAACTAGTTTGCTGCCCTGAACCTGCAGGACACTTATTTTCTTGTTAGCAATCCTTCCAAGCCATAGGAGATTCCTCAGGTTTGTCATAGGTGGCTGGCACTACCAGTATACCATGCTGACTTTCAGCCTGGGTTTTTACCAAATGCCATGACTGTGGTAACATCGTACCTCAGGAAAAGGGGAATTCATATCTTCTGTATCGGGACGATTGGTTACTGAGAGGCAAGTCCAGAGAGGAAGTCCTCCGGCATGTCCATTTCACATTACTACTCAGTCATTCAGGTCTCATCCTAAACGGCAAGAAGTCAACATTGGTTCCAATTCCAAGAATCAAGTCCACTGGGGCCCTGAGAGCATTTGAGAGCTGTAGCGAGGTGCACTCACGGGCGCAGTGCCTCTGCTGGTTGCCCTGGGAATTAGCTCGATTCCAGCTCAGAGCGCCCTCTGCTGGCTGGTAGCTCACCTGCCTCAGGCCCCCATGTCCCTTCCAGACCCCAGTGCCCCTTACCCTGGGGTTCTGCCCCAGCAGTACCCCTACTCTCTGGGTCTCCCCTCCCAGGGGAACCCCTAACCTTCTAAGCCCACCTTGCCTCAGTGGCTGCTGCCAGTCATCATCTATCCCCTGTTCACTGGGGCAGACTGCATTGTAATGGTCACTCATCACTGGCAAAGGGGGGTTAGGACCTGCTGCGTTTGCCTATTCCCCGGCTGAATCTCTGCAGCCCCAGTACCTCTTCGTAGGCCTTCGCTAAGGCCTGTGTCCTGGGGGTTTACCAGGCTGGAGCTCCCTTTGCCCTTTCCCAGCACTGCTCCGCTTCAGGTACCTTGCTCCCAAGCAGCTAGCCCTTCCCACTCCAGGGCTAGAGTGAGACTCCTCCAGTTCCTGGCCCCCAGCCTTCTTATCAGGGCCAGCTGGGCCCTGATTGAGCTGGCCACAGCTGTGGCTTCTTTCCCCATCGGCCTAGCTTGACTGCTTTTAACCCGTGTTCTCCAGGAGTGGGGCAGCCGCTCCATTACAAGAGCATTTCTGTTGACTTAAGTAATTCCATAAAATTTGCCACCTATGTCTGGAGCAATTCTCAATTCTCAACCACAGTCCAAGTATCTCTGAGGTTGCTGGGGCATATAGCTGCATGCACACAGCGAGACCAATATGTCAGGCTGCACCGGCATCCTCTTCAGATGTGGCTGAAGTTGGTCTATCACAGGGATCGGCAACCTTTGGCATGCGGCTCGCCAGGGTAAGCTTATGGTTTGTTTACCTGCCACATCCGCAGGTTCGGGCGATCGCGGCTCCCACTGGCCACGGTTCACCGCTCCAGGCCAATGGGGGCTGCGGCCAGTACATCCCTTGGCCCGCGCCGCTTCACACAGCCCCACACAGACCCTGGCAGGCCGCAGGCCAAAGGTTGCTGGTCCCTGGTCAATCATCTGAATTCTCATCCTTTTAGACAAACTGATCCAACTTCCTCAGCCAATCCTGGGCTAGACTGGACAGGGTGGGGAGTGCATTTGGGGTCACTGAAAGTTCAAGGCCTATGGTCTGAACAGGAAGCTTCTCTGCATATCAATGTCCTGGAGGCTCCTGCCATCTTTGCTGCCTATCAGGCCCTTTGAGATCATATCAGAGACTCGGCAGTGCACATCCTTACGGTGATGTATTTATGTGAACAGACAGGAGAGCGTACTCCAGCATGTTGTGTTAGGAGGTGATTAGGCTCTGGCAGTTTTGCATTGGGGAAGATGGTACTCCCATGGCTGATCATTTACCTTGGATCCAGAATCACCTGGCGGATTACCTCAACATAAATTTCCCCCTGAATCACAAAAGGTTGCTAAAGCGCAGTCTCCTGCAGTTCATTTTTGCAATTTGGGGCATCCCAACAATCAACCTGTTCATCACAAGAGACAACAAGAAATGTCAGCAGTTTTGCACCCGAAGGGGCTCTCACTTTGGGCTCCTTGAACAGTGCTTTTCACTTGAGCTGGGAATCGGCACTCCTGTATGTATTTGCTCCAATTCCCATCATCCTGCAGGTCATTCTAAAGCTAAAATTGGACCATGTCAAGCTCATTCTCATTGCTCCAGAGCAACCTATTTGGCCAAGTGGAAGCAGTTCTCGATATGGTCATTAGCCTGGCAAGTTCATCCATGACATCTTGGGTATGTGTGACATCTTGGAGTATGTGTTACACCTTCAGTCTTCTGGTCTTGTGCTTAGTTCATTGAGAGCCCACCTGGTGGCAGTTTCAGCCTTTCATTTGCCCATCCATGGTAAGTTGGTATTTTCAAACCCCATGGCAGTGAGGGTCTTGAAAAGAGTCACTCGTTTCCACCTACCAGTTAAAGAAACCTTCCTAAAGAAAATTCCTTTGCGTGACCTTAATGCTGTCCTAGAGACTCTGAGCCTCTGCAACTTCTTCTTTGTCCCTTCTGTGTTTAGAAAACTGCTTTCCTTGTGGCAATAACATGTGCAAGGAGGGTGGGTGAGTTGCAACTTTGATAGTGGAACCCCGTATATACAATTTTCTAAAGACAAAGCAATCCTGCATCTGCACCATATGTTTTTATCCAAAGTGGTTTCCCATTTGCACTTGGTTCAAGTGCCACATTCAACCCTAAAGGAACAATGTCTTCACACATTGGATGTCTGACGATGTTTAGCTTTTTATCTAGATATGACCAAACTTTTCCACTCCTCATCATCTTGTTTGTTTATATGAAAACCAAATGAAGGATCAAGGGATCTCTTCACAGATGATCTCCAGGCGTATAACTTCCACTACCATGCATACAGCATGTGAAGTAGCCCAGGCTATGTCTCCTCAAAGGGTATGAGCTCATTCCAACAGATCCCAGGCAATGTTGACGGTGTTTGAGTGACATTCCTATATTGGATCCGTGCAGGGCTGCCACTTTGTCCTCAGTGCATATTTTTACAAACCACTATGCTGCATCAAGATTAGATGCAACCTTTGGGAGTGAGTCCTGCTGTCCTTGTTGAAATAGACTGAGCACCACCTCCTGCCAGTACAGCTTGTGAGTCACCTAAGTAGACTACACACCTGCATCTACCTGAAGAAGAGAAAACTGTTACCTAACTGTTCTTCAAGATGTGATGCAGACATGTATTCTATAACCCATCCTCCATCCCCGCTGCATCAATATCTAGACTTCTGATGTTTGGTGTGAAAGAACTGAGGGGGTCGGCGCGATGCTGCGCTTATGAGATCAGGGGAGGGATTCATGAGCACTGCTGCTATGCATGCTGCTAGGCAAAGTTCTCCAGCTCCAGTGCGCTGGGTGCAAACATGCTGAAATAGAATCGTATCTTCATCACCTCTCGGAGAGCAAAGCTTCCAGGTAGGTAACCATTTTTTTAATGAACATTATTAAATGTTTGTAATAATTATAATTACTTTGCGCACATTTTAAATCACTAAAACATCAGTAAAAGGTTTGAGTAGAGTATGCTCTCTTGCATTTTGCCACTGAGTGGAGAGTTGCAATGCTGGCTTGTTCAAATGCTCCAAGTCAGGCTTATACAAAATCAATATTACACACTCAAAATGTATCAGGTTGACGCTTACTGTAACTTTCCCTTTCCTTCAGAATTTAGCATGTACTCTGTATAATTTGTCCAGTTCTCATATAAAGTACATAGGTAATGCATTTCATGATCTGATCTGGTCCCAAGTAGCCCAGGTTTGACCTCAAAGCATGTTTATTTGCATGGTCTGCTACCGAGAATGGGGTTTGATAGGGATTAGGTTTACATGGAGTAAGGGAGTTCTGTTTTGCTGGAGGCAGAGTTTTGCTTGTGATGGGTATGTTGCTATTACATTTTATTTGTTAGTTTGCGGCCGGGTTGGGTTGGAATAGGGTGCCTTTTATTGTTTTGATGATCCAAATATTACAAAAGATCTGAAATTATGGTAGACTGTATAGCTAGAGTCCATATAAACCTCAGCAAATCCGTTCTACGATAAACCTTTTGCACTGGAGGAAAGCAAAAATAACTAGTGACATCATAATCTCCTGTGATGACTGTACCATCCTCCATTGGCAATTGATTTAAAAAAATTTTTTTTCTAGACTCTGGATGAGTAATCATAGAAGATTAGAGTTGGAAGAGACCTCAGGAGGTCATCTAGTCCAATCCCCTGCTCAAAGCAGGACCAACCCCAATTAAATCATCCCAGCCAGGGCTTTGTCAAGCCGGGCCTTAAAAACCTCCAAGGATGGAGATTCCACCACCTCCCTAGGTAACCTATTCCAGTGCTTCACCACCCTCCTAGTGAAATAGTGAATTAGGCTTTCCTAATATCCAACCTAGACCTCCCCCACTGCCACGAGACCATTGCTTCTTGTTCTGTCATCTGCTGCCACAGAACAGGGTAGCTCCACCCTCTTTGGAACCCTGCTTCAGGTAGTTGAAGGCTGCTATCAAATCCCCCCTCACTCTTCTGCAGACTCAATAAGCCCAGTTCCCGCAGCCTCTCCTCAAAAGACATGTGCCCCAGCCCCCTAATCATTTTTGTTGCCCTCCACTGGACTCTCTCCATTTTGTCCACCTCCTTTCTGCGGGGGGAGGTGGCGGCGCAAAACTGGATATGATACTCCAGATGTCACCTCACCAGTGCCGAATAGAAGGGAATAATCACTTCCCTCAATCTACTGGCAATGCTCCTACTAATGCAGCTCAATATGCCATTAGCCTTCTTGACAACAAAGGCACACTGACTCATATTCAGCTTCTCGTCCACTGTAATCCCCAGGTCCTTTTCTGCAGAACTACTGCTTAGCCAGTCGGTCCCCAGCCTGTAGCAGTGCATGGGATTCTTTCGTCCTAAGTGCAGGACTCTGCACTTGTCCTTGTTTAACCTCATCAGATTTCTTTTGGCCCAAT